TGGGTTCGAGTCCCACCAGAGTCGTGTTTTGCTAACAAAGCAGACAAACCTTTGTAAGAAATACTGCTTTAAGACTACAACATGAAAAACAATCTTAACAAATCTCTAACATAGGTGATTAACTAGATGCATTCAGAAGGGATCTTAGAATAAGAAGTTAAGAAAGTTGAATAAATATTACCAACAATTAAGTTTAAATTAATAATGCTGGAAACCTGAGCTTAATGTATCACAGTATACTTTGATTCTCTATTTATAGTAAAGGACTCAAAGAGCTGTTCCACTTAAACCATGGAAGTCAGCTCATATCGTTAGGTGCAAATCAGAAACATCTTGCCCAATTTCAAGAAACTTTTTATTAGTTAAGAAAAAAAAAGTACAGAGCTTTCTACCAAGGACCACTTAACATGTCTGTATGGCCTTCTTTTGTCACTATTGGCAGTAAGTTGTGCCAGGAAAAGGAAAGGGATGAAAATGTTGTTCTTTATATTGTTAAATGGAAATCTCAACATATAAAAAGAAGTCAAAATTTCTGATTCGTCCACCAAAGAACACTTCAGAAACTTTTGACAGTTTTAATATCTTTGTCAGCTTAACAATTTAACACATTTTTCATTTTGATCAATTCAAAAACACTGCATAACCTTTGAATTTTTTTTTTGAAAAAGACATCTTTTTTTATTTTTATTTGCCAGTGGCCTAAAAGAGTGCATTAAGTTTTGACTGTTTATCGCTCTAGCAATTTTTTTTTTCGATGACCTTCCGTGCTCTAGCAGATGAGGCTCTGTGGCGCAATGGATAGCGCATTGGACTTCTAGTGTATTGAAGGCATTCAAAGGTTGTGGGTTCGAGTCCCACCAGAGTCATGTTTTGCTAACAAAGCAGACAAACCTTTGTAAGAAATACTGCTTTAAGACTACAACATGAAAAACAATCTTAACAAATCTCTAACATAGGTGATTAACTAGATGCATTCAGAAGGGATCTTAGAATAAGAAGTTAAGAAAGTTGAATAAATATTACCAATAATTAAGTTTAAATTAATAATGCTGGAAACCTGAGCTTAATGTATCATAGTATACTTTGATTCTCTATTTATAGTAAAGGACTCAAAGAGCTGTTCCACTTAAACCATGGAAGTCAGCTCATATCGTTAGGTGCAAATCAGAAACATCTTGCCCAATTTCAAGAAACTTTTTATTAGTTAAGAAAAAAAAAGTACAGAGCTTTCTACCAAGGACCACTTAACATGTCTGTATGGCCTTCTTTTGTCACTATTGGCAGTAAGTTGTACCAGGAAAAGGAAAGGGATGAAAATGTTGTTCTTTATATTGTTAAATGGAAATCTCAACATATAAAAAGAAGTCAAAATTTCTGATTCGTCCACCAAAGAACACTTCAGAAACTTTTGACAGTTTTAATATCTTTGTCAGCTTAACAATTTAACACATTTTTTAACACATTTTTCATTTTGATCAATTCAAAAACACTGCATAACCTTTGAATTTTTTTTTGAAAAAGACATCTTTTTTTATTTTTATTTGCCAGTGGCCTAAAAGAGTGCATTAAGTTTTGACTGTTTATCGCTCTAGCAATTTTTTTTTTTCGATGACCTTCCGTACTCTAGCAGATGAGGCTCTGTGGCGCAATGGATAGCGCATTGGACTTTTAGTGTATTGAAGGCATTCAAAGGTTGTGGGTTCGAGTCCCACCAGAGTCGTGTTTTGCTAACAAAGCAGACAAACCTTTGTAAGAAATACTGCTTTAAGAATACAACATGAAAAACAATCTTAACAAATCTCTAACATAGGTGATTAACTAGATGCATTCAGAAGGGATCTTAGAATAAGAAGTTAAGAAAGTTGAATAAATATTACCAACAATTAAGTTTAAATTAATAATGCTGGAAACCTGAGCTTAATGTATCACAGTATACTTTGATTCTCTATTTATAGTAAAGGACTCAAAGAGCTGTTCCACTTAAACCATGGAAGTCAGCTCATATCGTCAGGTGCAAATCAGAAACATCTTGCCCAATTTCAAGAAACTTTTTATTAGTTAAGAAAAAAAAAGTACAGAGCTTTCTACCAAGGACCACTTAACATGTCTGTATGGCCTTCTTTTGTCACTATTGGCAGTAAGTTGTACCAGGAAAAGGAAAGGGATGAAAATGTTGTTCTTTATATTGTTAAATGGAAATCTCAACATATAAAAGAAGTCAAAATTTCTGATTCGTCCACCAAAGAACACTTCAGAAACTTTTGACAGTTTTAATATCTTTGTCAGCTTAACAATTTAACACATTTTTCATTTTCTGATCAATTCAAAAACACTGCATAAGCTTTGAATTTTTTTTTGAAAAAGACATCTTTTTTTATTTTTATTTGCCAGTGGCCTAAAAGAGTGCATTAAGTTTTGACTGTTTATCGCTCTAGCAATTTTTTATTTTCGATGACCTTCCATGCTCTAGCAGATGAGGCTCTGTGGCGCAATGGATAGCGCATTGGACTTCTAGTGTATTGAAGGCATTCAAAGGTTGTGGGTTCGAGTCCCACCAGAGTCGTGTTTTGCTAACAAAGCAGACAAACTTTTCTAAGAAATACTGCTTTAAGACTACAACATGAAAAACAATCTTAACAAATCTCTAACATAGGTGATTAACTAGATGCATTCAGAAGGGATCTTAGAATAAGAAGTTAAGAAAGTTGAATAAATATTACCAACAATTAAGTTTAAATTAATAATGCTGGAAACCTGAGCTTAATGTATCACAGTATACTTTGATTCTTTATTTATAGTAAAGGACTCAAAGAGCTGTTCCACTTAAACCATGGAAGTCAGCTCATATCGTTAGGTGCAAATCAGAAACATCTTGCCCAATTTCAAGAAACTTTTTATTAGTTAAGAAAAAAAAAGTACAGAGCTTTCTACCATGGACCACTTAACATGTCTGTATGGCCTTCTTTTGTCACTATTGGCAGTAAGTTGTACCAGGAAAAGGAAAGGGATGAAAATGTTGTTCTTTATATTGTTAAATGGAAATCTCAACATATAAAAAGAAGTCAAAATTTCTGATTCGTCCACCAAAGAACACTTTAGAAACTTTTGACAGTTTTAATATCTTTGTCATCTTAACAATTTAACACATTTTTCATTTTGATCAATTCAAAAACACTGCATAACCTTTGAATTTTTTTTTTGAAAAAGACATCTTTTTTTATTTTTATTTGCCAGTGGCCTAAAAGAGTGCATTAAGTTTTGACTGTTTTATAAGCTCTAGCAATTTTTATTTTCGATGACCTTCGGTGCTCTAGCAGATGAGGCTCTGTGGTAATGGATGGCGCATTGGACTTCTAGTGTATTGAAGAAGGCATTCAAGGTTAATGAGTTCGAGTCCACTAGAGTCGTGTTTTGCAGACAAACCTTTGTAAAAATACTGCTTTAGGAACTACAACATGAAAAACAATCTTAACAAATCTCTAACATAGGTGATTAACTAGATGCATTCAGAAGGATCTTAGAATAAGAAGTTAAGAAAAGTTGAATAAATATTACCAACAATTAAGGTTTAAATTAATAATGCTGGAAACCTGAGCTTAATGCTTATCACAGTATGCTTTGATTCTCTATTTATAGTAAAAGGACTCAAAGAGCTGTTCCACTTAAACCATGGAAGTCAGCTCATATCGTTAGGTGCAAATCAGAAACATCTTGCCCAATTTCAAGAAACTTTTTATTAGTTAAGAAAAAAAAAGTACAGAGCTTTCTACCAAGGACCACTTAACATGTCTGTATGGCCTTCTTTTGTCACTATTGGCAGTAAGTTGTGCCAGGAAAAGGAAAGGGATGAAAATGTTGTTCTTTATATTGTTAAATGGAAATCTCAACATATAAAAAGAAGTCAAAATTTCTGATTCGTCCACCAAAGAACACTTTAGAAACTTTTGACAGTTTTAATATCTTTGTCATCTTAACAATTTAACACATTTTTCATTTTGATCAATTCAAAAACACTGCATAACCTTTGAATTTTTTTTTTGAAAAAGACATCTTTTTTTATTTTTATTTGCCAGTGGCCTAAAAGAGTGCATTAAGTTTTGACTGTTTATCGCTCTAGCAATTTTTTATTTTCGATGACCTTCAGTGCACTAGCAGATGAGGCTCTTTGGCGCAATGGATAGCGCATTGGACTTCTAGTGTATTGAAGGCATTCAAAGGTTGTGGGTTCGAGTCCCACCAGAGTCGTGTTTTGCTAACAAAGCAGACAAACCTTTGTAAGAAATACTGCTTTAAGAATACAACATGAAAAACAATCTTAACAAATCTCTAACATAGGTGATTAACTAGATGCATTCAGAAGGGATCTTAGAATAAGAAGTTAAGAAAGTTGAATAAATATTACCAACAATTAAGTTTAAATTAATAATGCTGGAAACCTGAGCTTAATGTATCATAGTATACTTTGATTCTCTATTTATAGTAAAGGACTCAAAGAGCTGTTCCAATTAAACCATGGAAGTCAGCTCATATCGTTAGGTGCAAATCAGAAACATCTTGCCCAATTTCAAGAAACTTTTTATTAGTTAAGAAAAAAAAAGTACAGAGCTTTCTACCAAGGACCACTTAACATGTCTGTATGGCCTTCTTTTGTCACTATTGGCAGTAAGTTGTACCAGGAAAAGGAAAGGGATTAAAATGTTGTTCTTTATATTGTTAAATGGAAATCTCAACATATAAAAAGAAGTCAAAATTTCTGATTCGTCCACCAAAGAACACTTTAGAAACTTTTGACAGTTTTAATATCTTTGTCAGCTTAACAATTTAACACATTTTTCATTTTCTGATCAATTCAAAAACACTGCATAAGCTTTGAATTTTTTTTTGAAAAAGACATCTTTTTTTATTTTTATTTGCCAGTGGCCTAAAAGAGTGCATTAAGTTTTGACTGTTTATCGCTCTAGCAATTTTTTTTCGATGACCTTCCGTGCTCTAGCAGTTGAGGCTCTGTGGCGCAATGGATAGCGCATTGGCCTTCTAGTGTATTGAAGGCCTTCTAGTGTATTGAAGGCATTCAAAGGTTGTGGGTTCGAGTCCCACCAGAGTTGTGTTTTGATAACAAAGCAGACAAACCTTTGTAAGAAATACTGCTTTAAGACTACAACATGAAAAACAATCTTAACAAATCTCTAACATAGGTGATTAACTAGATGCATTCAGAAGGGATCTTAGAATAAGAAGTTGAGAAATTTGAATAAATATTACCAACAATTAAGTTTAAATTAATAATGCTGGAAAACTGAGCTTAATGTATCACAGTATACTTTGATTCTCTATTTATAGTAAAGGACTCAAAGAGCTGTTCCACTTAAACCATGGAAGTCAGCTCATATCGTTAGGTGCAAATCAGAAACATCTTGCCCAATTTCAAGAAACTTTTTATTAGTTAAGAAAAAAAAAGTACAGAGCTTTCTACCAAGGACCACTTAACATGTTTGTATTGCCTTCTTTTGTCACTATTGGCAGTAAGTTGTACCAGGAAAAGGAAAGGGAGGAAAATGTTGTTCTTTATATTGTTAAATGGAAATCTCAACATATAAAAAGAAGTCAAAATTTCTGATTTGTCCACCAAAGAACACTTCAGAAACTTTTGACAGTTTTAATATCTTTGTCAGCTTAACAATTTAACACATTTTTCATTTTCTGATCAATTCAAAAACACTGCATAACCTTTGAATTTTTTTTTTAAAAAAGACATCTTTTTTTATTTTTATTTGCCAGTGGCCTAAAAGAGTGCATTAAGTTTTGACTGTTTATCGCTCTAGCAATTTTTTTTTTCGATGACTTTCCATGCTCTAGCAGATGAGGCTCTGTGGCGCAATGGATAGCGCATTGGACTTCTAGTGTATTGAAGGCATTCAAAGGTTGTGGGTTCGAGTCCCACCAGAGTCGTGTTTTGCTAACAAAGCAGACAAACCTTTGTAAGAAATACTGCTTTAAGACTACAACATGAAAAACAATCTTAACAAATCTCTAACATAGGTGATTAACTAGATGCATTCAGAAGGGATATTAGAATAAGAAGTTAAGAAAGTTGAATAAATATTACCAACAATTAAGTTTAAATTAATAATGCTGGAAACCTGAGCTTAATGTATCACAGTATACTTTGATTCTCTATTTATAGTAAAGGACTCAAAGAGCTGTTCCACTTAAACCATGAAAGTCAGCTCATATCGTTAGGTGCAAATCAGAAACATCTTGCCCAATTTCAAGAAACTTTTTATTAGTTAAGAAAAAAAAGTACAGAGCTTTCTACCAAGGACCACTTAACATGTCTGTATGGCCTTCTTTTGTCACTATTGGCAGTAAGTTGTACCAGGAAAAGGAAAGGGATGAAAA